TTGCTTTGAATGAACAGGTAGAGAACAGGAGATGAATGAAGCACGAGAGAGGGGTTGACCTCAGGAACAAAGATTTTAGGAACACGGAGGAGATAGAATCCAGAGGACCAGCAGAAGGTTTGGTTTTTCAGAGACAGAAGGAAACTTTCCTCACTGTAACAGGAAAGAAGGAGAAGGAGTGAGAAGGAGATTGGATGGTGTCTATCTTTTCAATGAGGTCCTCTGCTGAGAGTGAGGGTGGAGGTGGGGCGTGGGAGTTCTGAGAAACAGAGTTATTTTCTTCCTAGGCAGCATCCATTATGCCTTTGAAGTTTGGATCATAAATTTAAAGTAAAACCCATCAGCTCTGTTGTGTCATTTTCTCATCATTAATCTGCTTGGATGCGGGATGAAAAAGGAGGACGGTAGGTTCACCAAGAGGGAGTGTGACAGAGGGTAGGAGGAGTTGAGGGTGTTGGTTGGTAAGGGAGGGATTTTAATGGTGGACTACAGGAAGTGGGACTAGGGTGGGACGCTGCCCCTCAGTCCCAGCTCTGATGGGGCTCAAGTGGGGAGGCAGACATGACTGTTATAATCACACACATGCATATCTCTCTCCATGTGCACACACTCATATGTATGTCTTTTATGTAAATGTACATGCATATGTAACTGGCAGAACTGTCAGTGCTCCACCCATAATCCCTTGAGCCTTACCATTGCAGTGTACTTAGCTAATTTCCACCTATCAGCGTCTGCATCTTTTTACCTGAGAGCATGGCAGGCCAGAAGTACCAGGGAGTTAGAGTCCTGAGAGCATCATTCAACCAGTAGCTAACAGGAATTGCTGTCTAAATATCCTAGGGTGGGGTAACTCAGGTGTGTGTTCCACTGGTTCCCCAGCAGCAGCTGGTGGTGGTAACTTGTTTGGCAAGACTCTCTTGATGGGCTGCCTTCCCTTCCCTGCTTCACTTTGTCCCTCCCTTACTGGATGTTTCTAGGATCACCTTTCAAACAATGACTGGCTCTCAGTGTTTCTTCCTTCAGTGTTTCTTCTAGGTGAATCCAAACCGAGGTGTGATAATGATAAGTTGGGATGCATGCCACAGAGAAAGCTACGGGCTACTATTTGGTGGGGGAAGGAGGGGATCTCCCCCAATGTGGGGTGGGAATGAGGCTATTAGGGAAGGTGAGGAAGAGTTCTTCTACTTGGGATCTTAAGGAGGAGCAGGGTGGAAGCAACTTGGTACCTCTGAAGGTCTGAAAGGATACTGTGGCTGTCACAGACTACTGGGAAGTAAAGCTTAAGAGGTTGGCCCCAGTGGGGTTTTGTGGAACATGGTAGGAAGTTTGGTAGGGTCCCCAGCAGGACAGTGACAAGATTAGACCTGTCTCCAACCACAAATGGAGAAGGTCAGAGTCCATATGTCAGAGATGGAGTTCAGAGGCCTGTGTTACGAACCGGGGCCTTGCACAGAGTTTTACACACAGGAGAGTCTCAACAGATGTTTGCTGGAGTGGAAGGTAACTATTAACTACATATTTGATTGACCAGAACACCCTATTTCCTGACCAACCTGAATAATGGTTCCCCTTCATTAAGGCTGCCCTTTTTCCTGGGCTGCTGCACTGAACTCTATCAACCCTTTTCCTTGGGGCAGCAGCAACAGGATAACTCCCTTCTCCTTTTTCTCATTTTCTACTTCTCTCCTTTTCATTCTTCTTTCTTCTCCTTCCCTTCTTCACCCCTCTGTCTCTCCTCTTTCTTTAAATAATCCTATTTAATCAAGTTGATTATTTCTTACAGTCTCCATTTCTATTAATGGTGGCATTTAATGCTTGTCTCCGGCCATCTTAAAATGCTACAGCTATAGCCAGAGGAAACGGAATTACACTTTGTGAACAAGGTCATTTTAAAGTGGATCTGTAGTCAAACGCTGTCAAAATTCAGAAAAGAAAAATGTTCCCAAGCACATTCACTCCTTTGGTGATGTTACCATATATATATCCAGCATGCAGTTATGCTTTTGATGAAAAAGAAATTCCATTCCAAAGATGATTTATACACAAAATTGTGCGTATGTTATTTACAATTAGAAATCAGGAGATATTGAACATATTTTCAAGAGATAAAGTAGGTACCATATTCAGAGATGACATATATCTGATCACCAATGAAGCCTCACATGTGGTCACTGTAAATAAATTTCTAAAGAATATACCAGAAATATAGACTGACATCAAGTTTGGGTTTGTGGCCTCCTGTTGAAAGTAATACAAGACAGAGGACCAGGGTGGCTAAAACCCAGCCTGTAAATTACTCTCCAAGTGTATGCTGTAAATAGTCACAATTGTACCCTTTTCCTACTTGTATTATTTTATTAAAATAATTTTTTATAAAAATCTCAAAATCCTGGCTCATCCTCTTCTTCCACCCAGCAATTAAAGAAAAAAGACACTAGATATCTGAGATTTCACAAAATCTTGTATACCCAATATTTTCATTTTCTTAAAAACAAATCTTGAATACTCAGTGAGAGTTGCGTTTTGCAACACCCAGGAAGAGAGTAAATCTGTTCATTGGGTTTTCCATTTTTGCCCTGGTGTCCTCTTTTGGCACAATCACCTGTCACCCCATGCCCCTCACCCTGTGTTCTGGCAGGATTTGAGACATGCAAATCGCAAACTGGTAAATAGCAACTTGGCATATTTTGAATAGAAGAGAACAACATGGTACCACTCATTCTGTTCTCAGGGAAATCTGAGATAATGGGGAGCAAGAGCGAGGGCAGACTGAGGGCCCTAAGTATTTTCTTCCAAGGGTTTATTATGCTTATTAAATCTATTGTACACTGATGAATTAATTTGAATTATTTACATGGTCAACCTTTGAGACAATAACCTGATTTAATCAGAGGATGCAATGCATAATTTCTCTTTGAAATCTAAAAACAGGTTTAAACTGGAAGCATCAGGGCTTCTTGTATCTTTCCCTACAAATATTGGTTACAAACCTGCAGTTGTCAGGCTAAATGACATAATGTCAGAAATCAAGACAATGCGGCGATTTTTTTTTTTTTTTTTTTAGGAAAGTCCATAAATTCCCCTGTGAGATCGTGTCCCCTGGTCAGTCAACTCTTGGGTGACAAATTTCTCAAGTTAAAAGTCTTTAATACTGTTTATCTGTAAATATCATGCACTGTTGGACATAAGGGTGTTCATCTGCTAAAATTTCAGTGTAAAGAAAAATGGCATGGTAAGAATGGTTGGGTTGTCATTAGATTTTGAGCCTAGTGTCATTTTAATGACTGTTTGGACTGGTAAGAATTCTTTAGTTTCACTACTGAAGCTGGAAGAACCTAGGGTTGCTGTCAAGTTAAAAGGATCAAACTCAATTATTTTCAAATCTAGGTTTCGATTGTGACTTGAAAAAAAATGGAGATTGCTGTCCAAATCTCTTTTACTTTGGGTTATTTTTTTCCCTTGGTGTTTGGATGCTGATAAGAAATTTTTGTGAAAGGTAAAATCTTGTGTGTTTGTAAAGACAAAAAAGGCACCAGCGATTCTAAAGGTGGAGCCTTTCGGAGGTAAAGCAAACAGCTTGCATCTTGAATATTTTATGAGATCTAGGTATTAGAACGATGTTTCCTGATGCAGGAACACAGCGATCTAGGAACAAAAGGGAGATGGGACTAGAGAACAGACTGTGACATTTCTTAAAAATATTAAGGGGTCCTAAGGCTGAACACAGGGATGGATGATGTTCTTGCAGATCGTTCCTAATAAGGACTTTAAAAGCTTAATGATTTATTGATTGGATCTGCACTAATGATGCATCCTTGATTATGCATGTGTAAATAAGAGAGCTGATTTATGAGGGTACAGTCGTATCTTTCAGTTATATTTGGCCCAAGTCTACATATTGAAAATAAATGGAGGCAATTATCTGAACATTTCAGGGGAGGACACCCCCCCAAACTGATTTAGGGGAAGTCTAGTATGTCAGGTGAAGAGAAAAAAAAAGCTCTAAAGGGAGTAAGGAAAAAACAAAGAGGAGACAGCCCCCAAAATACTTCTGTTAGGAAATATTTCCTGCTTCTCTTGTCCTAAGAGGAGAAAAATAGATTCCCAGGTGCCACCAGGGAGCAATGTTTTCCTTTAAAGAAAACAAAAAAAAAGGTGATGAAGAAAGAAAAAATTATAAGAAGTCCTTTTTAATCAACTACACATGGAGTCTGTATGAGGAAATCAGCTTTTCATTACAAATAGGCTTAAAAAGCCCTAGAGAAGAAAGACGTGAACAGAAGCAATATTATTCACTAACAACCTAACTCCCGTTTAGATGTCAGCTATGATATCAGAAGCATCATTGAAGATGGGGTTTGTCTTAAGATAATGACTCATCTTTATTTCTTTCAGGATATAAAACTTGTATTTAAATCAATTTAGAGAAGCACTTTAGCTTTAAACATTAGAGAGCGAGGAGAGCCTATTTCATAAAACAGTATTATTTCATTTTCAAAGAATGATACTGGCAGTAGCTCTAAGTTTAAATTTTGTATTCTTTCCCTCAATTATAATTATAGATGGGTCTGAAAGGAAGCATGCCTATTACTGTCATATTTATTCTTTTGACAGGTGTTACGGGACTGTAATTTGATGAAATGATTCAAAACGCAGATTCCTATCCAAACACAATTCTTGTCATCAGCAGGAGAGGTTTAGGAAAAGTCCTCCAGCAAGCCTTTTCACAGATCTTGAACACCCCTAATATTTTAGCACAATCCATATTCAGAAATATGGGGGAGAGCTTGCCTTCAGAGCTTATATCCGGGGTAGCAACAGCCAGAAGGAAGAGTGGGTGTTCGAGGTAAAGAAGGCTGCCAGTGGGGACAGATTTTTTTTTTTTTCTTTGAGCTGGGCGGGGCCCGATCAGGGAGCGGGCACCCAGTAGGACCCCGAGTCCCGCGCGCTGCCGGCAGAGGGCGCTGGGCGCGCAGTCGCAGGCGGGAGAGGCGCAGGCGCACTCGTCGCCCCTGCGGCCGCGGCGTCCGGGGCTGGCGTCCCCCGTGGAGGCGGGTGAGCCGCGCCGCGCAGGCCGAGGGCGGGGGCGCGGGGACCGCGGCGGGGAAGGGCTGGGGACGCGCCGGCCGCGGGCATCCTCGGACCTGTGGAGGACCTAGGGGCGACCCGCGCCGCCCTTCTTCCCTCCCGTCCGCTCTCGTGTCCCCGGAGGGCCGGGTGCGCCGCAGCGCGGCACTGAGGCGTCCGGGCCTGTCGCAGGCCTCGCGGGGCGCCCTCGGAGGAGCAGGGAGGGCCCGTGGCGCCAGGAAGGGCCTGGGGCCGGGGGTAACCCCGGGGTCGCCAGGCTGCCGCTGAAATGCTCATTGCCAGACACGCATCTCCGGCGTCAGCCTCAGTGGGCCGGCTTTTAAGAGACGTGTCTCCTCCACCTTCCCTCTGCTCGGAGCTCCCCTTTGGCAGATTGGCATTTTGATTCATGCATCACAGAACAAGTCGCTCGGAAACCCCTTAGCTCTTAGGATGAATCTTTTGGTGGTGGTTGTTTTAAAACGGTTCCAGTGATATGTAAATGTATAGCGGGCGTTCACCCATTGAAAGTGCACAATCCAGTGTCTTTCGGGATGTTTAGAGCTGTGCATCCATCACCATAAGCAATCTTAGAGCATTTTCATTAGCCCTAAGAAAAAACAATTTCTTTAGCTGTCAACCCCCCTACCCTCATCTCCCATTCCCCCCAGCCCCAGGCAACAACTAATCTATTTTCTGTCTCTATAGATTTGCCTGTTCTGGACATCTCCTATAGATGGCGCCGTACATTCCTTAGCCTCATGTGACTGGCTGTGTTAACTTAGCAGGATGCTTTCAAGTTCACCCGGTGTGTGTTGACCCAGCATGTGTCAGTATTTCTTTTGACTGCAGAAAAATAGTCCACCGCATGAATGTACCATGTTTGATTTAGACATTCATCAGCTGATAGACCTTAGGACTGATCTTAACTCCTCACTGCCACCTAGCCCAGACCCTTCTGGATCCCACCCGACTTTCCTGGTCAGCATCCTCTTTGCTCTTGTCCGTCCTCCCTCCCTGGGCTCAGGTGGGCCTGGCAGCTCCTCTCCCCTAGGCCTTCATGCCAGCTGCAGGCTGTCCTCTGTGCCTTCACTACCCCTCCAAGTCCTCAGATTAGTGTCCCTTCTTCAGGAAACTTGTGACTCTTGACCAGATGAGATACCCCATGAGCCATTCTCTCAGGGAACTGAATTTCACTTTGTAGTATTTAATTACTAATGAATAACTGGGTATTTCTGTATAATTAGATGTTTCTGTATCTCTAGCACCTGGCACCCTGTTGGTACACAGTGACTGTTTCATCTCCCCCCACCACACACACCCCTACTACGTGTCAGGTGCTAGGGATATAGTCATGAATAAAATAGACTCTCTTCTCACATGGAGCTTATGTTCCAGTGGGGAAATACAAACAGAAACAACTGAATCTAGGTCTGGTGGTGAACAGTGACATGGAGAAAGATGGAAGGGGTTATAGTGTGGGGAGAGACGACCTCTTGAGTGAGACTTGGATACATAGGGGAGTGGAGTGGGTACTGGGAGGGGGGAGTTGGGTCTGTGAGGACCAGCAAAGAGGCTGGAGGGAGGAGGAGCATGAAAGGAAAAGGATAAGCCAGGAAGTTTCAGCTCAAGAGCCATTTCAGATGAACCCTGGCTGTGTGTAGAAAGAGCTTGAGTTTGGAAGTGTGTACCTGGGTCCAAAACCCATATGTGGCTCTTGTCTAGTTCTTTTTTTTTTTTTTTTTGAGTTGGAGTCTCACTCTATCGCCCAGACTGGAGTGCAGTGGCCACTCCTGGCCACTGCAGCCTCAACCTGCTTGGCTCTGGTGTTCCTTCCGCCTCAGCCTTCCAGGTAGCTGGAACTACAGGCGTACGCTACCACGCTCGGCTAATTTTTTTATTTGTTGTGGAGATGAGGTCTCACCAAGTTGCTCAGGCGGGTCTCGAACCCGCGGGCTCAGGCAATCCACTCACCTCAGCCTCCCAAGGTGCGGGATTACAGGCTGAGCCACCGAGCTTGGCTCTTGTCTAGTTCTGTGTGATCTTGAGCCTCAATCATCTTCCTCTGTAAAGTGGGAGTAGTGATAGGGTTGTAGGTTAAGTACTTCTGTGGAGCACCCATCCCAGTGTTAGACACCTGGTAGGCGTACGGTATGTGTTCCTTTCTTTTACCCTTAAACCAGGGTGTGGTGTGTTGTGGGCAGTGGGGGGGAAGCCATAGGCATAAAGTATTAGAACTCTGGAGTGAATCAGCTCAGTTTGCTTGTGGCTCTGCTCTGAAGAGTCGTGCATATTTGCTTTTGCTTGACTTCTGGTTGACTTTGGCTGGGATAGCTCACCAGGTTCACTTTATTTTATTTATTTATTTATTTTTTGAGTTGGAGTCTCACTCTGTCGCCCAGGCTGCCATCCCAGCGTCAACCTGCTGGGCTCCAGCGATCCTTCCACCTCAGCTTTCCAAGTAGCCAGAACTACAGGCATGTGCTACCACACCTGGCTAATTTTTTTTTTTTTAATTTATTGTAGAGATGAGGTCTCGCCAATTTGCCCAGGCTGGTCTTGAACCTGTGCAGGCCTCATGGGGGGCCCTCGGAGGAGCAGGGAGGGCCCGTGGCGCAAGGAAGGGCCTGGGGCCGGGGATAACCCAGGGGTCTCCAGGCTGCCACTATAATGCTCATTGCCAGACATGCATCTCCAGCGTTAGCCTCAGTGGGCCCGCTTTTAAGAGACGTGTCTCCTCCATCTTCCCTCTGCTCGGAGCTCCCCTTTGGCAAATTGGCATTTTGATTCATGCATAACAGAGCTCACCTTGGCCTCCCAAAGTGCTGGGATTACAGGCTGAGCCACCGAGCCTGTCCACCAGGTTTACTTTAAACTGGAAAAGGCTCAAGACAGGTTGGGATGGCTAATGTGATCTTCAGGCTGACTTCTAGCCTTTGAGACAGCAGGCATTGTAGAAAGAGCAGGGAAGTTAGAGGATCTGAATTGGAAAACTGACTCTGCCACCTGCTAGGCTTGGGACTTCAGGACAGTCACTTTCCTCTTGGTGTTAGTTTCCTCTCTGACAAATGAGAATCAGTCATTATCTGTTGAACTTCCACTGTGCTTCAGGCACTGCTAACTGAGAGGGAGTGACTAATACAGCAGTCTCTGTCCCCCAGAAGCTTACAGTCAGTGGGGAGCAGAGAGCCCAGTAATGCAGGAAAAGGCAGAGTATAGCAGGCTCCTAGTATGTGCCTGCCCTGTGTCAGGCACTTCCTTATGTTCACTGGCTTGAGCTTACAGAATCCCAGGGAAGAAGGTATTCTGTTCTTCTGTTTTCAGGGGAGGAAGCAGAAGTCCCAAAAGTCAAGCAAGTTGCCCAGGATCACACAGCTAGTAAGTGACAGAGGTAGGTTCTTAAACTAGGATTGTTTGTCTCCAAAACCTGCTCTGTGTTCTTCCGTCACATTGTTACATAAATGACTGCAGTACTGTGTGATGACTGTGTAACAGGGTGTGAACAGCACGGGATGAAAGCCTCAAGGAGGGGTGACAGGAAAGCTGCATCTTTAAGGATGAAGAAGAATTCCTGAGGCAGGAGAAGAATTCAAGGTAGGGGAAAGAGAGATGTTGAAGAGCACAGCATGTTTCAGAGATGATGTTAACAATGATAATTGTTAGCAGGCACATAATATGTGCCAGACACTGTGCTAAGTGGTTTAGGAACATATTTAATCCTTAGAACAGTCCTGTGTAGGAAAAACCATTAGGTTCCCTACTGACAGATGGGAAATGGACTTTTTTTTTTTTTTTTTTAGTTGGAGTCTCACTCTGTCGCCAGA